TAGGTTAGGCAAGGTGTATAATATATATCCAAGGTGTTTAATATATATCCAAAGTATGGCCCCCGATGCTGGCATTACAAATGATGTTGAAAAGAAATACTGATATGGAAGTGTTTAAGTCACATAACAATTTTTCCTATTAATATTATAAACCCCACAAAGTTAGAAAGTCTTCAAAGCCCTCAAAAATTAACATGTTTCCTCTCCCTAAATTGCAGTTTCTCCAGAATCACTTCTCCAAGAAACTTGTTTTGACTTAAACATGGTATAGTGGACGATGTGGAGACTTTTATTCTTTGCTAGTCTCTCCTATTAACAAACTTAATGACTTAGTTTCAGTGCTATTATTTAACATGAGAAGGAATTAGATCATTTTGAACAACCTTTCCTGTACCATTTTGATTCTGTAAGTCTTCACTCATTGCCACAAATCCAGACAGTACCCTGGAATTCACTGTCCCCTTCAACCTTGGGCTGGGCCTTAGGGTAAAAGTTAATTAGGCCTTGAAGAATTTTGACATAAATTAATTTTTACTGTTTCATCAAAGATACCCTTAAGTAAAGGTGGCAGTTTTTTATTGAGTCCACTGCAGAGAAGCAGTCATTGGTATCACTGTCTCGATTCATGCCAAACAGGCAGCAACCTAGTCACCACTGCTCTTAAACCATCAGTGTGCAAGGCAGTTTGCATCTTAGTATTAAGATATTAATTTAAGGTTTAGATCTGTGTGGCTGTCAGAACTATTTTCTGACAGCCACACAGATCTAAACCTTAAAATAACAATTTGACACCATAAATCCCAAAACGCTTTATGTAGGTAGCAAAAGGTAACTAAATGCCCCTTCCAGCTGGCATGATGCTTACAAAACTTAAGTCCAGACACACCTGCCAAACAGAGACATAACATTTTAACATGGAGCCCCGACGTTCCAGTTTTCGTCTGTTAACAAAGTCTGTCCCATTTCCCCTCTTCAGAAACTAGCCTCTGGCCTGGAGAGGGTTCCCAGCTTCTCCAATAAGACTTAAAATTCAGGGCTCAACTTAGCGGTTTCAGTTTACATGTTAGCGGCCCTCTGAGAATAGAAACAGGCTGGAAAATGCAAGAAGGGCCTTAATTAACCTTTCGACATAAGAGTTCTGAGAAAGCCTCAAGAATTTTTGGAAATAGAACTCTACGTGGTAAGGTTAGGTCTACCACACCACAGTTTTGCTCAGGGACAATTACGGTACTAAATACAACCGAAGACTGGATTTTATCGTGGGAAATAGCATGAACCAGAGTAAAACAATGAGAATTTACCCACCTTCCTCCGGTAGTGCTGAGTACACCCATTTATCGCTAAACCTCTAGTATTCGTATTAGAATGGAGCTGGTTAATACCGATTCAAAGGATGGTTATGATGATTATGATTAAATGAGCCAATAACGAAAACAGCATACCTTGTAACAATAAAAGCAGCTCACCTTTATTGAGTCCTCCTCATATTTTATATATACAGCCCTATTTAATATAGCAAACAACCCCAGTGGTTACTGGAATTATTTTACAGATGAGTGTCCGGGTCGTACCGAGGTTGTCCTGCTCGGTTCCTGGCGGGAGCGGGACGCCGCAGGTCCCCCGGTCTTGACAGCGCCGCGGCGCCAACAGCCACGCCAGCGCGGACGTGGCGGGCCTGGGGTCCACGTCACAAAAGCCGTCCCCCCACGTCCCTCCCCGCTCCACCCGCGCTCCAGGCCAACTCGGGCCGCCCGGCTCCGCAGGTCGAGAGCCAGGAAGGTGGACGACGGGCAATCCCCCGCAAAGCCCCCTGCCTGACCCCCTTCCCAGTCCTCCTCGGAGGCCAGCTGGGAGCTCAGAGGGGGGCGGCGGCGGCTTCCAGGTTCTCCGACTCGGTGCAGCCGCGGAGACCCGGCTTCCCCCGCGCCGCCCTCCCGGCCTCGCACCCGCAGACAGGCCTCCGACACACCTGCAGGGCTCGGCCACCGCTCCCGGCCAGCGCAGGTTCCAGGCCCCGCCCTCTGTCGCACCGCGCAGACCTGGAAAGTCCAGAGTGCTCTCCCGCCCTGGGGCGTGAGACAAGATGGCGACTATCAAAAGGAGGTGGGATTGCGCATGCGCAAAAGGCCCTCGCGCCTCACTCTGGAACTACACTTTCCAGGAGCCTCCGCAGCATCTTCATTTTGGACAACGTATGATATTCGACCTCTTCAGCCGCCTGAGTACTGATGGGATTTTCTGGAGGCTATCACTCAGAGAGAGCTAATTTGAACTGGCAGCGCGCAATCTGGGGGCTTGAAAACAAAACTACCACTTGATAAAGAAAGTACTTGTTCCCCGGCCGCTCCCCTTGCTTGTGTGCGCTCTCTCTCTCTGACAAATAAATAATCTTTAAAAAAAAAAGTACTTGTAACTAAGAACAATAGTACATTCAACAAATAATATCCTGTAACATCTGAATTAAAGCTTTCAGAATTATGCAAATGATACCTGAAACTTGTAATAAAGAGAAAATATGTATAGGCTAAAACAGAAGACTAGTGCCATACATACCACTGCCCAAAAGAAAAAAAAAAGTTTAATGTGAGTGCAGAGTCAGATTTTTACTCATTTTATGTTAATGGTATAAAATATTTTAATTCATTTCACTAGGGAATATATATTACATATGTAGTAATTTCCTGGTCAGTAACGTCATGACATTAATTTACTCTTTCCCGTGCCAACAAAAGAAATGAGTTTCCATTCAAAGAAATGACAAAAATATTAATTTTTTTGGTAAGATTAATTTTAAAACATAAAATCCATATAGAGAAAATATACGTACATACGCACGTAGCTGGCGTTCAGGGGTGCAGGAACACCTGCCTGTGGGAGTCCCAAATAGAGCAAGTCCAGCCACTCACCGCTGACAAAAATGCAAAGACAGAGAGAGGAGCCATGGTGAAACAGGAAAGGAATTTATTTCAGTGAGGCCAATACAAGGAAGACGGTGGACTAGCATCTCAAAGACTGTCTCCAAAGTGCTAAAAAATATTTTCAGGTTTATATAAGAAAAATGTGGGGCAAAAGACAGTGGGTACTACAGGTCCGCAGTGAAGGTCCAATGGAATCATTGTCTCCGAGTCAAACATGGGTGGGGGCCTGAGGGCTCAGGTTAGTCCTTATTCCTTAAGGGGGTAGTGTCTGTTAGGGGTGGGATTCTTTACTCTCTTCGTCTTCCACCTGAGCCAAGAGACAAGCTGGAAAGAAGAAACCCACCAGAAAGTTTGAGATCAAAATGGAGGCAGCTGAAGTCCTCTTTCATATACACATACCAATTTTCTAGATGGGCGGTTGGAGAAATAATTAAAAATAAAGGGTCTTCTTAGAATTCTGCCCGAACAAGTGATTTCAGATTTTGGCCTGGGGAACCATGGATGTAGTTACTATTTATTGATGAAGGATAGTTCACACATAGATATACAAGTATTTTTAGATAATAAATGTATCATTTTTATTTACTGTTATGTTTGTGTAGTACCTGCCTTATTCTCAAGAGAGTTTGTGGTGGTCACTCCCACAACTGATGGACACACACAAATATACAAGTCATACAGAAATAACCTCTTTCACAAAAATGCATACACACAGACTCACTGACACAATAAATACATTTACATAACCTGACTGGAAATAATGTCTATTTGAGCGCTTACCTTGTGACAGACACTGTCATATCTTCATGAATACATACGTTTTATAGACAGCTCTGTTTTGTTACTGGCATATTTTTTTAAATTTCAGAATATATTTTGAATAGCCCTTGTATGATTTAATATATTTCTATCACATTTAAAGGCTGCTGCTTGGGGCGACTGGGTGGCTCAGTCGTCTGCCTTCCGCTCAGGTCATGATCCCAGGGTCCTGGGATCGAGCCCCGCATCGGGCTTCCTGCTCCGCGGGAAGCCTGCTTCTCCCTCTCCCACTGCCCCCGCTGTGTTCCTCTCTCTCTGTCAAATAAATAAATAAAATCTTAAAAATAAATAAATAAATAAAGACTGCTGCTTGTTATTGTACTTTGTGGATGAGCATATTTTACCCATAAATTCTTGAATATTCTTACTGACTCAACTAAACTGTGAAGGGAATTCTTTATATAAATCTTTGAATTATAGCATATAACCCAATAAGCGGAATTACTTGAGTGAAGTACTTGCTTATTTAAAATCTTTTAAGTATGCATATATTTTCTGGTTTAGTTAAAAAAAAATATTGCTTACTTAATTTTGAAAAATTCCTTTTCTTCAATTTTGAGACAAACTCTGCTTGGTAGAGAGATGTTATTTTCTTAAAGTATTACTGTATTCCATTTTTTAACATTTTAATTAAATTCCCTATTCACAAGAACTGATAACTGACAAATATCTTCCTTTTTATTAGTTTTGTGTCTAAAAGATACACCCAGTTCTTTTTACTTTTTCCTTCTTTCATTGAAGTTTCTATTTTCAATCTGAGAATCATAAAGAAAAATGATCACCCATTTACCATTTTCTATACTGGACAAATTTCACATTTTGCCATATTTATCTTGTGTTTGCGAAAACATTTTAAAATAAATTAGATATATTTCACTCTTTAATACTTCAGTATGTATTTCCAAAACTAAGTACATTTTTTAATAGCGCATCTATAATCAAACTCCCATGATGTCCGCAAAAGTCTTTCAAAGAGTTGGTTTTTTTGTTTTTGTTTTTTGCCAAACCAGGATGTCTAAAGGACCATAAATTACATTTAGTAGTTCTTACACGTAGGGCCTAACCTCCGGGGGTGGAGTAGGGGGCGGCCTCTGAAAACGCCAGAGAGAGCTACAGACCTTCCACAGCAACCACCTCCTTACTCTTTGAATAAGATAGGTTTATTTACATAGTTATTTAAACAAGTGGGCGCGAAGGATTATGGTAGACGTAGTCTTGAGACTAGTTTGCTTACCCAGCAGAACTTGCGCCCCGGCCGCGGACAGTGCTGCGCACGCGCAGCTTCGCCATCTTTCTGGTCCCCCTCCTGCGCCAGCAGGTTTAGTGAAGGCCGAAATCCCGTTTCCAGATTTCCTAGTAACTCAAGGTCCTGGTTGCCCACCTTCCCAAGAGCAGAGGTTAGAGCGTGGGGCGGGAGGGAAACGGCGGTGACCCTCGGTGGGGAGGAGGCCCGGGACCCCGCAGCGGGAACCCCCACGGCGGGTGGGGGCTTCTGGGTGCGGACCAGCGGCTTGAGTTCCAGTGGGTCCCCAGCTCTGAGCGAGTGGTCCTGGCCGTGCGCCCCAGGACGGGCCGCGTGCGCATGCGTGAGGGTGCGCTCTGGCTGCGTGGGGTGCCCCGTGACTTGGAGGCTGACTTGGCTTTCAGCTGGGTAACAAGTGCACTGTTCGTGGTCTCCTTTGTCTTTGTCCTCAGTGCCTCTAGTTTCTAGGGGATAGTAAAATTTGAGATGCTGGGTGAGGGTTCCAATATGAATTTGTCCTTTTATCTTTTTTTTTAAGATTTTATTTATTAGAGGGGCACCTGGGTGGCTCAGTTGGTTAAGCATCTGCCTTTGGCTCAGGTCATGATCCCAGAGTCAGGGGATCGAGCCCCGCATTGGGCTCCCTGCTCCGTGTGGAGTCTCCTCCTCCCTCTGCTTGCTGCTCCCCTTGTTTGTACTCTCTCTCTCTCTGTGTCAAATAAATAAATAAAATCTTTTTTAAAAAATAAGATTTTATTTATTAGAGAGAGGAGGAGCCGGGAGAGGGGCAGAGGGAGAAGCGGACTCCGCACAGAGTGGGGAGCCTGACTAGGGGCTGGATCCCAGGTCCCTGAGATCATCACCTGAGCTGAAGTCAGACGCTTAACCAGCTGAGCCACCCAGGCGCCCCTGTCCTCTAATCTTATATCCTAATTTCCAAGGAACCTCTGGACTCCTGTGAGATTATAAAGAGCTGCAACTTCAGAAACAGAAATCTCATCCTGAAGAGAACCCTAGGGACTTTTGATCCCTCTCCAGAGTTTTAGAATGGCGATAGTCCCAGAAAGGGATAGATCCTAGAACTGCAGAGCATAGCATGGCAATTCTTTATTTTCCTGTTGAGGTGCCACTGTAACCGAACTAACTTGAGTTAGCTCCTTGACGAGTCACAGACACAAACTATACCAGATCCAGTTGTCATGCAAAGGAAAATTTGCAGCAGATAAGAAAATCATGAGGGATAACTTAGAAAGCCGTGACTCTCTGAGATGGTGGATGGGTTCCTTTTATTTAGGGAGGGGTGAATATTTAGAAAGGGGATCTTGGTCATTGTATGTAGTGAAGGCATAAGGTTGTTTCTTAAGGAAACATGCCAGTACATACATACATTCTATGTTATGTTAGTGGTGCTTGTGCTCTTTGAACGGAGATTTTAGTACTGTAATGAGGTAAAAGTGGTAGTCATTCTAGAGGTCACTTCATGGTCCTACCTGTGCAGGTGAGAGTCAGGGGTTAAGCTCAAACTGGTCTGGGTGGTCTGGGCCTTGTCCTGGCAGTCGCTGTTGTTTGAGGGGTGATTTTGGTTTCCATTTGCCTGAGTTAAGAGAGAAGCTGGAAAGAAGAGGTTAAAGAAAAATGTGGGACAGAGGTCAGTGAGTACAAGCAGGTGGGCAGTAAAGGTCCACTCTTGGGGTCTAGCAGGTGATAAATCCCTCCTCTAGTTTTATTCTGCTGCTCATTCTTGAGGGGCACAGGGCAAAGGTCCTCCTTCTATAGTTCCTGCCGGACACGGATGTAGTCATCGAGATTGTTAGCCGAGCAGAATTTTCCCTCAGCCAGTTTTAGATAAGTCTGTGGGTCACTAGGTTTAACTCTAAGCTGCTCCTATCTTTATGTTACTACCATCTGTAATTTTTGGCCTCCAGGCATTTGTATAGAATTGTATTAGGGAGCTCCAGTGGCGCAATCGGTTAGCACGCGGTACTTATACAGAATTGTATTAGTCAGTTAATGATGCAAAGTCTAAACAGCAGTCTAAGAGCAGTAGGATTATTAGTGGCCTCAGGACAGGGAGAAATCATGTAGTATTGGTTAATGCTGTTTTAATAGCCTGTAGACCTCATCAGGGGATCTTCCTTTTTGGTTGAAAGTATGTAGCCAGGCTGCCTGGTTGAAGATTTTTTTAATATCTATTTCCACTTCACTTGAAGTATTAATCCAGGTACAGCATGAGCTGTTTGTTACTGCACATGCTCCTCCTTCTTTTGGTAATAAGTAGTCCAGGGCTAATCATCGTCTAGCGCTACGTTGGCTAAAGAGTTCAGGGAAATTTCTAAGTTTTTGAGGGCATTTCCTGTGTTTTTAGCTAAGGTTTCTATGACATCAGTTAGTTTCCTTGCAATGACTTTATAACCTATAAAACCTCCCTAAGAGGCACCTACTCCGACAGCCAGTCTAACACCAACCAGAATTAGTTTTGAGGCTCTTTTTACCTAGTGGGAAGACTGAATATGGGGTTTTGGTAAAGCTAGCTCCATATTACCATTTTTCTCTCTTGAGGGAGGCTTCACTGTCCTCTTGAAATAATTAAGCCCGGGGCACCTGGGTGGCTCAGTCACTTAAGCAGTGACCTCTTGACTTCAGCTGAGGTCATGATCTCAGGGTAGTGGGAGCAAGCCTCCTGTCGTGCTCGTGCTCAGCGAGGAGTCCGCTTGAGATTCTCTCCCTTTCCCTCTGCCCCTCCTCCTGCTCACTCTCATGTTCTCTCTCCCTCTAAAATTAAATAGATAAAGTCTTCCCACTCAAAAGCAGATAGTACTTGGAATTTAGGATCTAGTGGGATGCAGAAAAAGGTATCCTTTCAATCTTACACCATGTAATATTTACTATTACTCGGTAGTTGGTCATAGAGTATAGGGATTGGGTATTACAGGTTGTATGTCTCAAGCAGCTTCATTAACAGCTCCGAGGCCTTGAACAAATCTGTATTCCTCACTTCCCAGCTTTTTAATAGGTAAAATTGGGGTGTTACATGGGGATCTGCATGACCTAATCAACCTGTTAATCACATTTAAGAGCTTGTTAATTACTGGGTGGATCCCTTGTATAGCATCTGGGGCCAGCAATCTATCTGTTTCAATTTTACTTTTACAAATGTGTTGTTAATGGCATGCCCCCACCTGCCCTCACACCCAGACTTTCGGGTTGACTTGCCTTAAGATTTTTTGGGGGGGAGTTTCCTGTTTTAAATACGAGGATATGTTGTAATAATGACATAAATTCAGTTCCTTGGTATTTAGGGACTCTAATTGCTAATTTGTTGTGTTCTGAACTTACTGTGGGCCCCAATTTGTCTAAAATATCTCATCCTAAAAGAATATGGGGCATTCTGGCACATATCAAAAAGAGTGTTTTAACAGCTTTGATCCTATTTCACAAGTCAGAGGATCCAGAAACCTTTTGATGTCTCCTTTTCCTGAGATTCCTTTCATATTACAATTTTTGTTAGAAAGGCTACCCTTCTGGGTGTTGAGTACAGAGAAATTAACTCCAGTATCAAGTAAAATTCAACTGGCTTCCCTCCTACTGCTGAGAGTTACTCAGGGCTTCTCTTGGGAGATGAGGATCTAACGGTCCAAGACCAATTGGGGAGCCTTGTGGCCCTGTCATATCTCATCTTCAGTTAGGGACAGCCGAAATGAGCCTGCTTTGCCCTTCTTCCTTCTGTTCCGGGAGCGGTTCGGGCAGTTCTGTTTCCAGTGCCTTTCCTGCTTACAGTGTGCACATTGATTGGATCCCAGCTTTGTTGTTGGTCTCTTGGTCCCACAGAGGGGGCTCAGGGCACTCACCCATAGATGTCTTCTTTTCCTCTTCCAGGTTACTTCATGTAGGCTGGAGAGCTACCACCAAAAGAGCAGCTTGCCTTCTCATCTTCTGGTCTTCTCTTAGGTCCTCCGTCACATCCAGTTATGGAACACCTTGAAAGCTAGTTCTGGAAGCTGAGCAGGGTGAGTATCGGGACTTATAGCCAATTCTGGAGTTTCCTTTGGATGTCTGGAGCAGTTTGAGATATGAAATAGGTTATTAAGGACCATTCAACTACCCTGAGCTTCAGGGTCCCAGTTTATATTTCGTCTTAGGGAGTTTTGTAGTCTTTCTGAAAAGGCTGATGGATTTTCATCTGTCCTTTGTTGAATCTCCCTTAATTTGGACCAGGAGATCTACCTACCTCCTTCATAGCTTTTAAAAGAAGCCCTCAATAATGCCCTAAACTTTCTCTCTCATTGTGGGAGTTGGGATCCCCCTCAGAGTCAGCTCTTAGCGCTGCTTCCTCATTTAGTCTCTGAAAACCTGATCCTGGCTGATATTCTTTATCAGCTTCCTGTCTGGCTTCTGCTAACACAGCAAACTTTTCTTCTACCATTAAGAGAGTGGTTAGCAAAGCTTGCGTATCTGTTCAGATGGGTTGTGGGTAAAAAAGATATCCTGCATTAAATGTATAAATCACAGGTCAGCCCATAGCCCTTTAGTGTGTGCCTTCCAGTTATACAGGTCCGAGGTCAAAAATGGGACGTGCACATTAACGAGACACCCATCAACATCAGGTACTCGTCTCAATGACAACATCCCATCCCTGGCTTAAAATAGGTCCCTAATCTGGTAGTGCTACCTGACAAGGGAGGCTAAAGGGATACAGAAGACATTGGGGAAGGCTTTGGGGGCGTTTGTAAAGGATTAGAGATGGGTGCTCATGAAGCTGGGGGAGCTGAGGCCTGAGTACCAGAGGAATAAGGCAAAGGCTTATTACGATTTAATGACTTGGAGGAGGAGATGGAGATGGGGACAGACTCCCTGATTCACCAGAGGGTACAGGACGCATTTTTAGGGTTTTCAGTTCTACCTTTTTACAAATCCTATTGCAGCCCTCCTTTTGATGTAATGCCATAAAGCACTGATCATATGGAATCTCTTCCCGTTTTCTTTCTCTTTTACAAAATAAGCTTAATTGTAGTGCTGTATTAAAACTTAAGGTCCCATTTTCTGGCCACTTCTCTTCATCCTCTAGAGTCTGTTATTGTGGCTAGGCTGTGTTACAGAAGAAAGTCGTCTGTTTTTGGGTTAAAGGAAGGTAGTCTAGCGCTTTCCATTTCTGGAGGTTACAGCCCAATGGAGGCTCTCCTTCAGGGTGGAATTGTCCCTCCCATAATCTGAGATTCTTTCTTAGGGTCTCCTCTTACCCTTCCTCAAGGTAACTTACAGTGTTAATGGTTACACACAACCTTACCCACAATATGTATGAGACTCGGTTGACTTAAAACCAAGCCCACAAGGAGAGTGGTTAATGCTAAGGTGTCCAAGTGGGTCTGGGTAGTTGTGCCTTGAGGAGCAGTGGTCTGGTGCACAGGCTGCCTCTTCTAGCCCCTCAACATCGAGGCAGTCCCAAAGGATTTACTTGGGGAATGGCGCAGGGAGAACCTAGTTTAGATTCAGTAACTCAAGGCACACTTCCCTTTTAAGAGGAAAAACAAACCTGGAACAGTGTCAGATGTCCCCAACAAACATTAACAGGTCAAACAGAAGATGGAGATATCCTTCACCCTTGCTGATTCTAGACTAGTCTCATTTGGGCCACTTCCCAACTGCCAGGCTAAAGCATTCAGCCTCTGAATGGCCAGGTGTTATCCTTTGCCACCCAGGGATGTCTGACTCGACTATAATGAGCGTTCAATCCCCTGGAGTTTTGACTAGAGAGGCCCTGTTCTTAACCGACTGCCAAACTGCCAGGCTTTGTGAGACAACTCAAAGAAAATACTGTTACAGTCGTGCCGTAGGCTTGGCACCACTTACCCTTGTGGAGAGATTCTCAGCAAGAGGCTTGGAGTGGCCACAGTGTCTTCAAGGGGGCAGCAACACCAGTCCAGCAGCACAGACCCCAAGAAAGGAGAGCCCCTTCCAAGGATTCCACCCCCAGTCCTGGTTAATTGAATGGGTTAGCCCAGAAGGGCTGCCGCTGCTCACTGCTCCATCCTTTGGAAACCAGGTAACCAGAGGGCAGAACCTCAGAGGGACAACAGTCCCATCTGGGTTGCCAAATTTGTGACCAAACTAACATGAGATTGCTCCTTGGTGTGTCCTAGAACTACATCAGGTGGATTGTTGCACGAAGCAAAATTTATTTGCAGCAAGTAAGGAGATCACGGGGAACCACTTCCAAAGCCCTGACTCTCCGAGCAAGGGTGGATAGTTCCTTTGTTTAGGGTTAGGGAAGCCTTGTCATCGTATGTAGAGGCAGGCATAAGGTCAGGCATATGTCTTAAGGAAACATGCTTATACATACAGTGTATGTTAGTAAATGAGACTTGTGTTCATTTTTGGGCAGAGATTTTAGTTTTACAATGAGGTAGAGGTAGTTGTTGATCATTCCAGAGGTTGCTCCGTGGTGCATCTGTGCAGGTGTGAGTCCAGAGGTTAAGCTCCAACTGGTCTGGGTGGTCCGGGCGGCTGGAGGTTTTGTCAGGGCAGTTGCCTGAGGGGTGGTTTCAGTTTCCATTTGTCTGATTTAAGAGATAAGCTGGAAAGAAGAGCTAAAGGACAAATGGGGGACAGAGGTGGGTACAACCAGCTGGCTGTGAAGGTCAGGTTTTGGGGTCTAGCTGGGTCCCCACCACATCAGACACCTTACTGCTATGTTTAACCCTTTCACATTTGATGTTATTGTTGACTTGGTTAGATTTATGCCCACCATTTTGCTATACTTTCCTTATATATCTCATGTCTTTTTTGTTCTTTTGTTTCTCCTTTACTGCCTTCTTTTGTATTAAGTGGATATTCTTTACATTTTCCTTTGATGAATTTTTAAATTATTTTTTTTATTTTTAAATTTTTTTTTTAAGATTTTATTTATTTATTTGACAGAGAGAGAGAGACAGTGAGAGAGGGAACACAAGCAGGGGGAGTGGGGGGGGAGAAGCAGGCTTCCTGCGGAGCAGGGAGCCCAATGCAGGGCTCGATCCCAGGACCCTGGGATCATGACCTGAGCCGAAGGCAGACGCTTAACAACTGAGCCACCCAGGCGCCCCTAAGTTATTTTAGACTTAAAGAATTATGGTCAATATAATGCAGAGATTCTGTCAAAAGCAATTATCCGGGTTCTAACAGGAGGCCTGGTGGCACCATCAACAAGGAAGTCACAGGCAGCGGTGGGGAAAGTCAGAGGCCTGAGCTGGCATCACTCCAAAACAAAGCCACAAGAAAGCTGGATCCATCCAGATAGGCCCACGAAGGTGGGTGCCATGACAGGAAACTCCAAATAAGGAAGGAAAAAAACCCTTGCTTCCAAGAAATCCCCGCCCCGCATAATGAATATTCTACCCCCTAGTTAACAACTGTACATAACAGAGAAACACAGACTCCCAACACCCACAGTTCTTGAGCATGCTTGCTCGCTCTCTCTTGTTCTCATATCTTGAGAGTGTAGTTTCACTTTAATAATAAACTTCCCCACTGTGTTGTGTCTGTCCTTGAATTCTTCCTCGTGATGAGACCAGGAACCTTTGGGGACACTTTTGGGTTGGGCCTGGTTGAGGCTCCAGGGCCCAGGGTCTCCCCAGTTCATCCAGTGACAACTCTGTAGACCCTACATTAATTTCCTCTATTTTTAACATCTTACATTAGTATGGTATGTTTGTCCCAATTAATGAACCAGTAAAGTGCATATGTTTTCATATTTCCTCAGTTTTTCTGTAATGTTCTTTTTTCTCTTCTGAGTTCCTTTCTAGGATCCTGCACTACATTTAGTAGCTGTCTGCTTAAGCTCCTCATGGCTATGATCATATTCAAAACTCATGACTTCTAAGTACTTTCCTTCTTTTCACTCATTTCTGTGTTCTTGAGACTATCTATCATTATGGTAAAAATCCTATATAATGGTATGCTATTGCACATTTCTTCCCAGCTCTGTTCAGTGACATCATGTTGGTAGTCTGTAATTGGCCATGGCAGGAGTATTTATGTGTCTGAAATGGGCAACTAAAAGTCAGGGTTTTTTGGGTTTTGTTTGGGTTTGTTTGTTTGAGAGGCTGTTATTAAGTATTTGAGTCTATTGGCACTACCTCTATGTGGCCATTCCCTCTCTTTTTAGGAACCAACAGGACATTGGCCCATAGAAAGGCATTTTACCCACCGGTATGCAGCGTATTTGTAGGCAGGTAAATCAAGGAGCTGGAAGGGAGGCAAGATCATTTATGACTCATCTCTCTTCTATTATTTCTCAGTTGTATCTTCATACATCTCCATGCTTTTTTAAGAACACCAGAAAATGAACAAACCCCAGGTGAGTTGGGTTTTTTTTAATTCCTATTTTGTTTTACATTAGTTCTTATGCATAAGATATAACCTTTAAACTATAAACGTAGAAATAAATAAATGTCAACTGTGTGGGAAATATGGAGTAGCAGATTAGTAGCAGGGCTAAGGGGCTATGACGATGACCTTCAGGTACTTAATGTTGAAGTTGACCTTCAAGTACTTAATGTTGAAGTTGTCAATGCTGAGCTATACATCTGTCGCTGATAGCAATAGCAAACATTATAATAGGAAGTGTAGTGAAAAGGAGAATAACCTATAATGATTCTTAATGGTACACAAAGACTTCCCTAAAATTGTGGGATGACATGTTCTACAAATGCGTCATTTAGGTTTAGTTCAGGGATGGTGGTGTTTAGGACTTCTGTATTCTTTCCAGTTATCTTCTTCTATTAATTACTGAGAGAAATACTGAAGTGTCCAACTATATTAATTTTTGTCTGTTTTTCCTTTCAGTTCTATCAGTTTTTACCTCCTATATTTTGAAGCTCCTTTGTTAGGTACATGTACATTTAGTTTTGTCTTGGAAAATTGACCATTTATCATTAATGTAATGTGCCTATTTATCTTCAGTAATATTTCCTATTATATAGTCTGTTTTGTCTGATATTAACGTAGCTACTCCAGCTTTCTTTGGATTATTGTTTATGTTGTATTTCTTTATTTTTTTACTTTTAATTTATGTATTTTTGTAATTAAGGTCAGTTTCTTGTAGTTAGTATATAATTGGTCCTGTTTTTTAACCTAATCTGATAATCTTTCTATCTGGTTTGATTAGAACATTCATATTTAAAAATTGGTTGTCAATATAGTGGATTAAAATCTTCCATTTTGCTAGCTATTTTTCTATTTGTTCTCTTCTTTATTTCTTTTTATCTTTTTTTCCTTTGGAATTTGTTTTCTATTGTTTCATTTTATCATTGCTGCTGTCTTATTTTTTTTTAAGATTTTATTTATTTGACAATGCCCGCGCACAAGCAGGAGGAACGGCAGGCAGAGGGAGAGGTTGAAGCAGGCTCCCTGATGAGCTGAGCTCAACGTGGGGCTTGATCCCAGGACCCTGAGATCATGACCTGAGTCAAAGGCAGACGCTTAACCACCTGAGCCACCTAGGCTCTCCTTGACTTATTATTTATACCTCTTTTTTTTTACTTTTAAAAAAGCCAAACACTTATAATACCTGTTTTTAATTAATCAGAGCCTCCCTTCAGATATTAAACCACATGATGTTATAGTATAATGACCTTACATCAGTATATTCCCAATTATTCTTTCCTATTCTCTGTGCTATTGCTCCATACATTTTACTTTAACATATGCTATGTGAACATGAGACAATACTACTATTTATGCTTTGGACAGTCAGTTATCCTTTAGAATAAGGATTGGCAACCTGCAGCCCATGGGTGAAATTCAGCTCCCTATCTGCTTTCACAAATTAAGTTTCCTGGGAAGACAGCCTCATGTTTTCTTCTATGTATTGTTTGGGGCTACCTTCACAATACAGTGTTTACTGTCTAGTTCATTACAGAAAAAAATTTCCAACCTTTGCTTTAGAACACTTAAAAATTGGGCAGGGAGGAATTAACTTAAATTTTCCTTTTTTATTCCATTTCTGTCACTCTTCATTTTTATGTGTAGATTCAAGTTTCACTGGTGCCATATTCCTTTAATATTTCTTTTTTTTTTTTAAGATTTTTTTTATTTATTTGTCAGAGAAAATGAGAGAGTGAGAGAGGCAGGCAGAGGGAGAAGCAGGCTCCCTGCTGAGCAAGGAGCCTGATACGGAACTTGAGCCTAAGGCAGATGATGCTTAACCAACTGAGCCACGCAGGCATCCCTCCTTTAATATTTCTTGCAGAGTAGTTTGGCTGGTAAAGAATTCCTTAAATTTTTATTTTTCTGGGAAGGTATTGTTTCTTTATTTAAAAAAATTTTTTTTTATTTATGTATTTGAGAGAGTGAGAGCACAAGCAGGGGGAAGGGCAGAGGGAGAGGAAGAAGCAGGCTCCCCACTGAGCAGGGAGCCAGACATGGAGCTTGATCCAGGACCCCAAGATCATGACCTGAGCCAAAAGCAGATGCTTAACTGACTGAGGCACCAAGGCACCCCTATTTCTTCATTTTTGAAGATGTTTTCAGTAAATAATTCTTGAAGTTATCTTGTGGGGGGGGAGTTGTTTTTGTTTTTTAGTTTTGAAGTTTTTTTAACTTTTAATTGAAGTATTGTTGACATAATATTAAATTAGTTTTAGATGTAAAACATAGTGACTTAACTATTCTATAACATGAAATGCTTATCACTGTAAGTAAGTTACAGTATTTTTTACTGTATTTTTTTTTTGAAAGATTTTATTTATTTATTTGAGAGAGAGAGAATGAGAGAGAGAGAACACCTGAGAGGGGATAGGGTCAGAGGACGAAGCAGACTCCCTGCCGAGCAGGAAGCCCGATGCGGGACTCAATCCAGGGACTCCAGGATCATGACCTGAGCCGAAGGCAGTCGCTTAACCAACTGAGAGCCACCCAGGCGCCCTGTATTTCTTTTTTTTAAAAGATTTATTTATTTGACAGAGAGAGAGACACAGCGAGAGAGGGAAAACAAGCAGGGGGGAGTGGGAGAGGGAGAAGCAGGCTTCCAGCTGAGCAGGGAGCCCAGTGGGGGGCTTGATCCCAGGACCCTGGGATCATGACCTGAGCTGAAGGCAGACGCTTAACGACTGAGCCACCCAGGTGCCCCTTGACTATATCTCTTATGCTGTACTTTTTCATCCTTGTGACTTATTTATGTTATAATTGGGAAGTTTGTACTTCTTAATCTCCTTCACTAATCTCTCCCACTCCCCCCTCCCCTGTACTCTTTGCAACCACCAGTTTGTTGTCTGTGTTTATGGGTCTGTTACTCTCTTTTTTTTTTTTTTTTTTTTTTTTTTTTTTTTTTTTAAGATTTTATTTATTTATTTGAGAGAGAGAGAGAGAGAGAGAGAGTGGCAGAGGGAGAAGCAGACTCCCTGCTGAGCAGGGAGCCCGATGTGGGACTCGATCCCGGGACTCCAGGATCATGACCTGAGCCGAAGGCAGTCGCTTAACCAACTGAGCCACCCAGGCGCCCTGTTACTCTCTTTTTTGTTGTTATGAGTCTGTTTCTCTTTTGCTATTGTTTGCTCATTTGTTTTATTTTTTAGATTCTAAATGTAAGTGAAATATAAATGAAATCATATGGTATTTGTCTTTGTCTGGTTTCACTTAACATAATACCCTCTAGGTTCATCCATGTCACAAATGGCAAGCTCTAATTTTTCATGGCTGAATAATACTCCATTGTGTATGTATACTACATCTTTATCCGTTAATCTATCGGTGGACACTATTGCTGCTTCCATATCTGGGCTATTATAAATAAAAACAGGGGTGCATGTATCTTTTTGAATTCTTATTTTTGTTTTCTTTGTGTGAATACCCAGTAGAAGAATTACTGGGTCATATAGTTCTATTTCTAATTTTTTGAGGAACCTCCATACTGTTTTTCATAGTGGGGGCAACACTTTCCCACCATTCTGTCCACTTTTTAATTGGATTATTTGGGGTTTTTTTGATGTTTGTGTGAATGCTTTATATATTTTGGATATTAACCCCTTCTCAGACATGTCATTTGCAGAGAGTTTCTCCCATTCATTAGGCTTCCTTTTCATCTTGTTGATGGTTTCCTTCATTGTGCAAAAGCTTTTCAGTTTGATGTATTCCTGTTTATTTTTGCTTTTGTTTCCCTAGCATGAAGAGACTGATCCAGAAAAGTATTGCAAAGGTTGATATCCAAGAGATTACTACCTGTATTTTCTTTTCAGAATTTTATGGTTTCAAGTTTTACATTTAAGTTTTTAATCTATTTTGAGATTATTTTTGTCTATAGTGTAAGAAAGTGGTCCAGTTTCATTCTTAATGCATGTAGCTGTCCAGTTTTCCCAGCACCATTTATTGAAGAGAGTGTCTTTTCTCAATTGTATATTCTTGCCTCCACTGTCATAGATTAATTGGTGTTCTCTCTCCCTCTCTTTATGTGTGCATAAAGACTCACAATTCTGTTCCATTGACCTATATATGTATTTTTGCAACAGTACCATACTGTTTTGATTATTGTAACTTTGTAGTATTTCTGGAAATTTAGGATTGTGATACCTCAAACTTTGTTCTTCTTTCTCAGTATTGCTTTGGCTATTTGAGGCCTTCCGTAGGTTCCATACAAATTTTAGGAAGTTTTTGTTCTAGTCTGTGAAAAACACTATTGGTATTTTGATAGGGATTGCAGATCTATAGGCTGCAATTTATAGATTGCTTTCTGTAGTATGGACATTTTAATTTTAACAATATTGCTTCCAATGTATGAGGTTAATATATCTTTCAATTTATTTGTGTTGGCTTCAATTTCTTTCATTAATATGTTAAATTTTTAGAATACAGGTCTTACACCTCTTAAGTTAAATTTATTCCTAGGTATTTTATGCTCTGTGATACAGTTGTTAATGGTATTTTAAAAATTTCTTTTTCTGCTATTTTGTTATTAGTGTATAGAAACAGAACAGATTTCTGTATATTAATTTTGTATCCTACAACTTTACTGAATTCATTTATTAGACCTAATAGTTTTTTGGTGGGGTCTTTAGGTTTTTCTATATATAGTATGATGTTACTTGCAAATACAGTTTTACTTGCACCTTATCAATTCAGATGCCTTTTCCTTTTCTTGTCTGCTTGCTATGGCTAAGAATGCCAGTACTATGTTGAATAAAAGTGGTTAAGAGTGTCATGTTCCTGATCTTAGGCAACAGGTTTCAGCTTTTCACCATTGAATATGACATTGATTGATTTGTGTATATTGAACCATCCTTCCATTCCTGGAATAAATCCCACTTGATCCTGGTGAGTGATTTTTTTAATGTATTGTTGGATTTGGTTTGCTAATATTTTGTT